TCCTACATTTATTTGATTAGAAGACACCGGTTAGTCACCATGAGAGCATCATAAATGCCTAAGACAGTAGTATCGCCCTGCTTATGCCTTACTTTGCTCCTTTCTTTCACGAGTTAAGAAGTGAGGCTCTAAAGCAGTTGCATGAGCCCGGCGAAGCCGGGCTTCCAAGAAGGAGGAGAGCTCGGCGTTAGCCGGGCGATCCGACTGGTTAACATCATAAATAAGATGAGCTTTACTCACGATAACGCTAATCATGCACTTATGGAAAAGTAAGAACATATATGCTGTACACAGATAAGCCGCCCCACTTCATGACAGAGGGTCGCCCACTTTGACCATGATCCAGTGGGGGGTAGGGGCGTTTTTGACGCCTCTACCCCCCACTGGATAATGGGTTGGAAGGAGATTGACGGAACAAACTGAATCTGCTCTGACGCTGCTAAGGAGCTGCGGCTCTCGTCGTCTGCGTCACTTCATTTACAGCTTTTGGGCAGCACAACGTGCAACTTTTAATAGGAAACGAGCTGGTCGCCTCCTATTGGCCAGACAGTTAGCCTACTGGCGGACACGTTTCTACTAAAGTCTACCGCCTAGCTCCGTGCTTGAAGCTGCCAAATTTTAAGCTCCCGCAGATTGTGCGTCCACTGCCGCAGAACTTATGCCGGTCCCTTTGCGGAGCTACAGTACGCCTCTAGAATATTTGATCCACGTTGATCATGTGACATGCGAGGGCGTTTGTTTCGTCAGTTGGTGTCCATTCTGTTGTACCGGACTGTTTCAGTTCCTTTGAAGACTCCTGCCTAATTTAAAGCAAACTTTTCTGCAAGTGAATACACTTGCTGCAGTGATGTTTATGTGGGTATACCTCCCACATATGCGCTACGAAAGCAACGCGATTCCATTGAAACGTTGCTGCGGGGGTACATAGTGCTAGCAATGAACCTAGCACACGAATTCACATACTTTTCACACATCTCGGAAAACACTTCGTCAACTGTGCACATGTAGAATAGCATCTGAACAGAACAGTTTAAAGATTTCCATCTATGAGAAATATTAATACTAATGAAGATGTCAGCAATACTACGTTTGATTAACTACAATTGCATGAAGGGGACCTCACAAACAATTGACAGATTTGGAACGCAATCTATTTGTTAAACACCAATAATTTTTGTCCGCTCCACCCACGAGTAAAGTCTTTTCTTGGCTCGTATGCTTCAAACATTTATTCCGGAAAACTATCGAATCATTAACCACCATTAGTTGTTCCGCGTCAACTATACAGTTGTACATAAAAATAGTTGTATTTTATATACCCCCTATGTTGTTTTACCCCACCGATTCTTTGAATCATTATAATTATGTTGCCAATGCAATATTTCCATGTCATACACAGGCGCTCCACCCACGGTACTACTTCAATCAACTATTAGTAGACCTTACTTCTCTGTTCAGAATATGAAAAATGGGGAAAACGTAGTAAGCTTTCACCAGATGTTAAGCGCTTCTCTACACATAAGGGTGCAGTAGTGATCTTGCCTGTTTATAATAAAGAGGACTGAGAATTGAATAGTGAAATCAGTCATTAACGTTAATCGCCGCCCGTGTAAACGAGCGTTGCTGAGCCCTTCCCCCAAATGGGATGAAGACCGTTACAGCGATTCAAGATAAAAGCTACAAATGTGCTGATGTCGGCCGCCTCGCTGGTGCCCTGTCATGTTTCCCCTGTGACATTTCATTGGCAGACCCAGTGTCACTTTGCCTCTCGCTTCCTCGTCACCGTCCAAAAGCAGCTACAAAAAGAAGGGTCTAGTTTGTTGCATGAAACGCTCGTTACATTTTCGCCTTCTTCTTTTAACTAACTGAATGATAATCACAGTTGAAAGCCATGACCCATTACGGAATGAGCTGATCATTCGTGGTGTCGTGTTAGCATGTGTTGTAGCACTTTAGAGGTAGTCTTAGACTTAGGAATTAGACTTGAGTTCTGAAGCTTTTTCGTTTTTCTAATAGAGATCAAGTCATGGTAGTAAAATGGCAAAAGGCCTTTCTCACGCGCAATCTAGAATCCCTCTCTGGTCATTCCATATTACTTTCGATCAGATGGGTGCCATTCAGAACTAGGTCCGCCCAAGAATATGCGACCATTGACTTATGTATACCTCCGACCTCAACATTCGTTGTCACTACGATTCTGAGTAAAAATCGAATCGATAGATCGAATGTGCGGCGCAACTACGAATGTCCTACGTGTTTCCATTTTGCAAGTTTGGCTCGTAAGTAGTACGTACTCGTTCAACGCAAAAAAAAAAACTCTGGAACAAGCAAACGTCAAGCTCCAACGCAATTTTTCCAAATTTTCGTGGAGCCCCAATCAAATCATATTACCATCCAACCAAATATTAAGCGCTGCGTAGTAGCTTTATTGCCCTGCCTTTACAGCGCTACCATTACCTCCACCTAAACCACCAACGTTTTTCGTAGTGGTTTAGGTAGCAATGGGTTACGCCTCGACAACATGACGAATTTCTTGTCATATTCTTTGGAAGCCTGTTGGCAATTTGTCAACCAACTAGAGTCGCCACCCGTCGATTCCCAAACAGCTATGCCGTTTTCAGCGTCGACCACACTACGGAAATCATCTATTGATCTTCCTATCGCCTTGTTGAAGCTGCCAAAAATTAAGAGCCAACAAGTTCCGGCTGTTCGACTGGTCATTCCACTATCTTGTCCAGCCGCCTCAGTGACGGTTCGTCGAGCAGCTTCGACTTAGATGCACTCTTTTACGACGATTTGCAAAATGACGTTCACGAACGGCTTGCACGTCCTGGTCCGCATTCAGTGACGGATTTCCTGAATACTTGGGAGAGCATAGTGCGCCAGTACACCTCCACCCAGGATACGTTTGCACAACGATTCTGCCGTTCGAAGAACTGTTACAGAACTACGACTACATCATCACCCTAGCGTCGTATTTCCGGCTCATGTTGCCGTGAACCACTGTGGGTGTTCCCAAACGTCCAGTGCATGTCATTCCTTTCCGATGTATAGAGCCTTGCGCACGACGATCGTGCGGTTGTGTTGTTTGAGCCAAATTCGAGACCATAGACCACAACAGTGATGAGTTAGAGGTCACAGAGAATTTTTCTCCTACGGGAACCTCTCGCAGGCAGAGCACGTTTTGCAATTTGAGGGATCCAACCGCTGCCAGAAAATTGTGACTGGGTGGTGCAAACTCTCCAGGAAAAGTACTGCGATTATGCTGCTTATAGGTTCCGAATCTGCAAAAGCTAGTCTTAATGGAGCTTGTTCTGGGACCTACGAACAAATACAAGTTCTGGTCAATCAGATCGTATCCTCTGAGTATTACGTGAAAAGTACTCGATTCAGTGTGGTATGAAAGCATTATAGCTATATCTCCACGGGACATACAGGGGGGGGTGCAAAAAAAATCACTTCGACGCCGATGTCACCAATATCAACAAAGTTTTGTGCAGGCCCAGAGGCAGAAATGTGAATACGAGTACCAGGGTAAAAAGAATACCCAAGATTCCTCTATAAGCAGGAGCTGGCCCTCGCCCATCACCTTCATGTACACCAAAATATGAGGTCATCTCCAGTCGCAGCCTGACTGGAGAAGACCTTTGGAATTCATGTCACCTCCAAACAGCTGCGAAACTTCTAGTGTGGAGTCACCCATGGGTAGCTACCTGGAGCATACTCTTACTCTCAATCTGGAAGACTCCAACATCAGCAGCTCCGACAACGTCGCCACGGTCTAGGACATCATCTTCACCACAGTCGTCAAGGAGCGGGTTGATGGTATGGACCGGAGGTACCTGGAATGGAAAGACCAGTATTTTCTTCGTGGACCCCGGACTGAAGGTGAGCGCTGGCGGTTACATCGAGCAACTGAAGAAGAATATCCTCCCCACATGTCGCCGCCCCTACCTTCTTGGAAACTTTGTACTGCTACAGCATTGGGTGCCACCACGTGGAATTGAAGGGCGTTGGAGAAACTCTCGCCTACTTGGAATGGAAGGGGGCTGAGTACCTAAAGAGTATGGTATATGCCCAAGAAGCGTCACTAACCTGATCTTCCTCAGTCACCCCTTCGTGGAGTTCAAACAGATGTCTACGTGGCGGATAAATCGACTCAAATTTCTCTCTTGATTTCAGGGACGATAGGCGTCCGGCTGCGTGCCAGAATCTCGTCGCTGGCGCTCATCAGAAGGCGTGTGCGAGTTTTTAATAGCATTCAATATGCTCTTTGTTATGGTTGTAGAAATGTCCGATTAGAATTTGTAAAGTGTAACCGATAGCGCCACGAAAGTCAATGAAGAAAAGTGCCTTTTTGCCCCCCCCTTGAAGATAAGCCTGTTCTCATAAGGACAGGCAGACGCTATCTGAACTACTAAGGACCTGGCCACTGAATCAATAATAAGGCCAGCTCATCAAGCCAGAGGCAGACTACCGCTTTCTGGCGGATCTTGTATATTTTGCTATAGGAGCAATCACGTATCGACAAAATGTCGAACGGTTAAAGACTCAATAAGTCTAGAAACATTTTAAAGGAAGAACGATGTCGGAAGTGCTTCTCTTCAGACCACAACAGCTTTGATTGTCAAAACAGGATTGTTCTTATTGTGGGCAAAGGCATCACACAAGCATATGCTTTCGAGATAGAAACAGTAATAGCAATAAACAAGAATAGCCTCTTCAACCTCGAAAACCGTAGGTAGGCCAAAATCTAAGAAGAACGTCAAAACTCTTCTCCAGGCCATCAAAGACTTCAGTTTCACAAGAGAGCGACGCGAATATTTCTCCAGCAACACAGATATGGAGAGTAAAACAAAAGCTATTTGAAGCAGCAGAACGAAACTGCGCGACTTCACAGCTTGTATTTATGACTACCGAGGGTGATCTTTGGAATTTCAAAAAGCAAAGTTATGAGAAAGTGCTATTCTTTTTCGGTTCTGGAGCACAGCATACCGTCATAGAGGACCATATTTGGATTCACCCTATACGGAAAAGGTTTGCTCGTAATCAAAAAAATGGGGAATCTGACATTTGCTATGGAATGACCGCAATTACAGGAAACAAAATATTCCCTAGAGCGAACATCCTCGACAGAGAGTATTTCGATTCACCCAAGTCGGAGAAAACAGTATATTAAGACAGGACAAGGCTATGCCTACCTTTAAAAGGTTGAAAGAAACGATCACAGAAAAGGACAGATCCGTGAAAAGAAGCCCACCAATTTGAAATTGGACAACAATCGAGGTTAGGTCGCCATACTATACTATGCACTGGAGTGCCACGCTTGGCAGAATTGAGTTCAATTCCAGAGGTCGTTTTCTGGTGCCTCAACCGTGCAGTCAGGTTGGTCTCTTAAGCGCACGGATAGAACATTTGAAAGACGCCCGACCAAAGTACCAAAGTTCCACAAGTGTTTGAACGGGGGGCTACTACAAGAACGTATAAAGGCGGGTTTTGCGGCGGATCTTGACAGCAAGACGATTATCGAAGAGTCCCTCTGATTATCTTTTTTTAATTTTGACAGTCATTTATAACTGTGATTTAACCTTGTTCTTTTCACCACCGACGTCACAATCCGTTTCCCGTTCCCAGTAGTCCAGCCACCGCCGTCGCCGACTAGCCACCTCCAGCTTCTATCAGTTTAGCGTTCCATCCCGATTATAGTACGCCTAACAAATTCATAATGTTCTACTGTGTTAATTTCTCACAATAATGTAATTTCCGTGTCCAGGGGAGTATCGCCGACTTCGATGACGAATCCCGATATCTCCCTCTCTCCACGTCTGAGACTAGAACCTACTCTCTCTCTCTCAGCGTGGGCCCTTGTACTGAGTACAACACTAAGCCTTATGTACTAAGTACTAGCATGAGGCGGATCATGATATGAATGGTCCGCGCAGTCAGTCTGCCATCTTCCTTATACTACTCTATCTAACTCCTCCACGTCCCAAGAGAACGTCCATTTGCTCACGATTCATCCTATCCGTCGCAATCAAGACGTTTTCCCATTTATTTATATATTTACCAGTCGGATCGCCCGGCTGTCGCCGGGCGCTCCTCCTTCTGTGACATGGCCCGGCTTCGCCGGGCCATGCGGATTTGCCGCGTGCTAAGTTAAGGATCGTTGACCAACCACACTGTTCAAAGGAATCTTCTGCATCAGCCAAGAACTGAAAAGCAGCGCTTGTTCCGTCAAGGCGCAGAAGCAGCAGCAGCGCCCCCCCCCCGCATCACAGAAGGAGGAAAGCGGCCTTAGCCAGCGATCCGACTGGTACGTTCATAACCTACATGGAAATAGTGCAGCCTTTTTTTTACAGCCACTGAATCAGCCTATAATTTATGCATCTGTCTTCCTGAAGCGACTTGCTTTGGAATGCACTCCCGCATTCAGCAGTGGAACCTTAAATGGCCCTCCCATCACAAAGGTGATTGATGGAAGATAATTGTGGTAAGAGTGATAAAGTCAGTAGCTGCTCTCATAACATCTCTGTAAACAAACCACATGCATTTGGAATAGAGCTGGCTTAGCGGCGCCACACGATGTTACCAATAAGTGAGGAATGAGTCCTGTTGGAATCACTGAGATCGTTATACTTGAGTCACATCGATCGCATTGTTGTTGTGAGCGGTGAAGCGGATTTTCAAATGTTACCTTGTCAATAATAGCTTCTATCACTTCCGTACCCGCCAATAATATTCCCGTCCCGTATCACTATCATATCACCCCATATCGGATCCGAGGTCCCACTGTTGCTGTAACCTGCGTTACGAATCTGATGACCCCCCCTTCCCCACCCCTTCGAGGGCTGTCTTACTATCTATCAACTTTATCACTGTTCCGTCACCCGATCATAAATTTCCCTTCCCACAACCTATTGCCACCTCTCGCATCAAGTCCCGTTGTTGCTGTAGCCTGCATTGCACAATTTCGATGACTCTCCCTTCGAGCGCCGCTTAGTCGGATCTTAACAACTGTTTATAGACTTTTTTGCAACCGCCAAATAATGTTTCCCGGTCCCACACCCTTCATCACCTCACGTATCTGAGGTCCCACTGTTGCTGTAACCTGCGTTACTAATTTGATGACCCTCCCTTCCGAGGCCGCTTATCGGATCTTATCAACTGTTATCACTTTCTGTCACCCGCCAATAATGTTCCCGTCCCACACCCTATATCACCTCTCGGATCCAAGGACCCACTGTTCCTGTGAGCCGCACTATGAATTTGGTAGTCTTTCCCTTCTAATGCCCATTATCAGATCTTATCAGCTGATATCACATCCTGTCGCCTACCAATAATGTTTTCGTCCCACCCCCTATTTCACTGCTCGGTACCAACGTCCACATACTTGCCCCAGCTGGCCCGCACTATGACTGGGTGGGCCCATCCCCTTGCGCCTCTTATCGAATCTTATCAACTGATACCACATCCTGTCACCCACCAATGGTGTTCCCGTCACACCCCTCCATCACTTCCTGGAATCAACGTTTCTCTGCCACTGGGACAGGTGTTATGAATTTCGTGACACACACACACACACACACACACACTTAGCGGATTATGTATAGTAGGATACCTATAATAACATATTGTAATTACTATTATCTCATGGAACTGCTACAGCTGTTCTTAGCTTCTTTTCTGTTTCTTTTTCTTCACTGTACACTTGCTAACTTTAGCTCAGTAGAGCTCGCGAATGACTCCTGAGCCGGTCTTGTACACTGAACGATATGAAAGGATGTGCCACAAAACATGATAATATTCGTTTGTGGCAGATTCGTCTTTTCTGCCTTAAAATTCATGCTTTTTCTTTCCGTCACCGATAATTTTCTACGAGAAAATCCTCCTCTGGTAATGCAGATGCTGACGCATATACCCCTAGCAGTAGCTTACAGGTTAGTCACAGATTTTCGGGGCGCAATACTGCCATCTATTTCAAGCGATACTTACCTGACGCATCGGTTTCTAATTATTTTAGATGTGTGAACGACGAGTGGGCGAAGACCAGCGATGAGAAAGCTACAGCCAAACTTGAGGTATATATTCAGCAAACTAACAAAGACCTAAAACAATAAAGGATATGCAACAGTCAGTACAACTGAGAAATGACTTTCATGCTAAAACTCAGGAGCATGCGGACGTCGTATGGAATATACTTGCCGAGAATCGTGACTTCCTTGAATGCAGAAAAGCTCTCCGTGAATAAATAACACAAGTTCAGTTTCATTTTTTCTCTCTTCTGGGATGGGACAGTAGAATTTTTTAGATAAATATTCTAGCACCTACTATTGTTTGGCACTGTTTGGCACTGATTAGTTCATGGTAATAATATATTTAAGTAACTTGGTCGATCGTCAGGGCAAAATAAAGCGAGAAGGTTCACGATGTAGTGTGCAGTGTAAACTTATGTTTACTCTCGACTGTTTATCCACTAGTCAGTTTCGGCAATGTAATTCAGTGACCGAGGGGAGGGGATAGACATGGTACAGTGAGAGACCTACGTTGATGCAAAGGTCTTCAATTGATAGCTGACACGCCGACGGTAACAACAGAAGTGCAGTTGCCTCACTCATTCTCCGTCGCGACTGCGCCTCTGCCCTAATTCAGTCTTCAATCGGGCAGTTGGTGAGGCGGACGAAGGGTCGCAGACGCGGCTGCAGCAGCGCCACGAGGAACTGTTGGCGGCGATCAGCTGTTTCCAGCCTTTAGAAATTTTCACTCTAATTTCATTGATTTCTTTTCTATCGAGGGAGTTATTCTTTGTCTTTACGAAAGTCATAGCTGGAACGTGAGTTCTTTATGTTTTCCGTGAGTGTCTTCGCGCATTTTCTTAGTACTGTCTCCTTTGTTTCTCATGTTGGTTCCTGTTGCGTGGCTCTCTGTTAGTATTCTTTGTGTATACATAGACAGGATGCACGATTAGCGATACAGTAATGAAGAAAAAGCTAGTCAAAAAGGATTCAACAAAGACTTTCATAGTATTGAACAATTCAAGGAACGCCTTATCTCAATCATATACATTGTGAAGACAAGAGAAAAACGAAACAAAAAAAGCAAGCCAAAATATGAAATAGAGAGAAAATGGATTGTGGCCGGAAACAGCTGATCGCCTAAAACAGTTCCTACGTACGCGGTCGCTGCTGCAGCTGCGTATGCGACCATTCGACCACCTAGTCAACTGCCCGGATGACGAGAAACACACGGATAAGAGGTATGCAGGTACCTGTAACCAGAAACATTGTAGCGAAACAGAGGAATTAATGCGCAGCGAAGCCAAGCCACTGAAGGAAGAGCGCCCGCCTCAGAGCTCCGAATGATATCACATGTATCTGTGTAGCGATGAATGAGACCCAGCAGGATGTACGGAAGTTCACTCTGGAGTCTCTGGAATAGAGTTATAAGTAGTGTTTGAGTTGGCCTCTCACTGCACGCTCTGCATACTGCCGGTTGTGTTCCTCATTTCAGCTCTCTACCCTTTAGCCCACCTTGCTCAATTTTTCACGGTCTCTGGTGTGCAGTGGGATGCAACTTCAACCTGTCCACCTTGGTGCATGCCCCGCTCACTCTAGGTCTATCTTCTTCTCCCCATCCGCTGAAACCTTGCTGAGTTCTGTCCACATTCTGCAGGATTCTGGACAGTTATGGAAGCTGTTCCTGACTGCTTAAGTTATGCACCGCCTTGCAAGGAGGTTAGTCGCTTGCGGTTAGGCTCTTCACGCACCCTTATAGCAACACACACTCTCTGGGAGTTAGACATAGTAGCAGCGGACTCTCTCAAAACATCGAGCGTTGTCGAAACGGTTCACTATATGTATGCTCAGGTGAACATACATGGATTATAGAAAACAAGGTTCATTTTCTTGCGCCCTTCGGAGAATTCCACAGAAAAATAATAATAGGTTGATGTTCCGAACCCCATGGCCATTAAAACTTTGCTTTTTGTCGTTTGTCAAAAAAATTAGAAGCGAATTCCTATACCTGAGTTTGCCATGCCTTCCAAACCTTTTTTAATCACTCGTTTCCATCCGTTTTTTCCTAGAAGAGCGCGAAACAAACAAACTACCCTTTGAGGTCCACGCATGCACTAACATGCATCGAGAGCTGTAGCAAAGCGCTCTACTACCTGACCCTCTCGTGGGTGCTTTCCGCGTTATCTGAACTCTCATTTGCTCAGGTTTTTGTCACTTGTGCTAATCGCCATAAACAGCAGTTTTGGGCATTGTTTAAGACCGCCGGCTTAAATGTTAGTAAGTAGATTAGTGCAAGATGTCCTAGTGACGAACACGAACAAGTATCAGGTCATTCTATTCAAAAGTGCCGAGACATGTAGAGGA